CGGACAAGAGGTTGCAGTTAAGTTCGTCTACAAGGGCGATGATACAGAACATTGGTTCCAGCATCCGAAGTATGGTCCGGTGACGAGGGACGTTGTTATCATGGAGCGAGCGAAACACGAGAACATCGTCGCCCTATTGGACGTATTTGGGGATGAGGACTACTTGTACATTGTGAGTACACTTCATTGCCTCGACTTTGATAGAGCCCGCCCGTGATCATACTGACTCGCTGTTTATAGGTACAGGAGCTCCGTGGTAATATCTGGTATCCCGTCACTAAGACCGGTAAAAAGAAGTTCCCTAACGGCAGTCGATGCTTGCAAGGCCTTCTCTCACAAGAACGCGTCTTACCACTTGAGCGCACCAAATATATTTTCTATCAGCTCGTCGATGCCGTTGCTCATCTTCACTCCCTCGGGATATCGCATTGCGACATCAAACCACGGAATATCCTCGTCGACTCGGACTTCAAGGTAAATATCCGATCATCTACGCGACATTGATGAACATCCATACTCATCGTGTTCGCTCCCAGGTCACCCTGATCGACTTCGGGAATTGTATAACGAGACCGGAATGCATTCCTCTTGGTCATGGACGGGTCATATACGGCGACCCAGACTACTACCGTGGTACGAGGAGATTCTACCCACCCGAGATCCTCAATGAGTTGGAATTCGATGCAGAGGCGGCGGACGTGTGGGCGTTGGGTCTTGTGCTTTGCCACATGCTCCTTGGGCGGATACCATTCCAGGATACGAACGATGTTCGTGACGGAATATTTATGCGGCATTTTAACGGCTGGGAGCCTCTCCTCCCAATGTGGACAGTGGTGAGCAGCTGTTTGGAGACGAGGCGGACGTTTAGGGCGACGGCTGCAGAGCTGCAGTTGCGGGACAGTTTTTTGCATACGGCGAGGCGTAGACAGATTTATGAAGAACCGCTGTGTATCGGAGAGTGGAGAGAGCAAAAGTAGTACGCGCATTTTTCTTGAGTTGTACTGTAGCTTGCGAAGTTATATGCGATCCTCTGAGGCTATGCCCGGTCCGAGCACATGTCTGCCTTCTTTCGCATCGAAGTCTTTACGCATTCAATGACATTGACTATTCAAATATTAATGTATTTATGGCTGCGTCTATACATCACAGAGTATACAATTATGGGGAAAGAGTGCTAGGATGCGATAGTCACAGGCATTTTACAAGAGCTAGTACAAAACTAGGGATACAGATCGAAATATGAACGCTACAAAAGTGAATCAAGGGCTCTTACTCATCTCGGGCATTTTCTCTTTTCCTTCTCTCGGTTGAGCCTCAGGAAGAGATAGGTTATTATACAACCATGAAGGCTGCGTAGCACTGGCTGCCGATTCCCCGCCTGGAGTCTGACTAGATTTGACCTGCGAACTCCCCGCGATGATAGTTTGCTTCAATAGCACTTCTTTCAACAAGTTATGCTTCCTCGTACGTTGCGTCGACCGGGAAGGCGTGGGCCCGCGAGGTGGGGCAGAAGCACCGCCTCCCCGAGACGGACCCGGGACGCCTGACGCGCGAGAAGCTGGGGCGGGAGGAGCAATTGCCAAACCACTGCCTGACGCTACGGGAGTCGCGATATCTCCAGAAGGGTCCGACACTACAGCAGAAATGCGAGCTACAGGCGGGCCGGGTGTTGTTAGCCTTGGAAGGACGGTCGAATTGATCCTGACTTTGCCTGGTGCTGGCCTCTCAGGCCACACAGGAATTGGATCACCCGATGCGAGTACGCGGCGGACGTACTTCCCTGTAATAGACACTGGATACTTCTGCAGGAACAACACCATGTCAGGTATAACTGGCGATGTTGGCCTGATGTTGGGTATGTCGGTCCAAGTCTCAGCAGTCGGCAGAGGCCAGGGATGCTTCGTATGAGCGAAAGGAAGTTCGGTTCCATAGGCAAGAAGTCTAACAAATTCGAATGTCGGGGGACGGTATGCCAACCTTTCGTGGTCTGCAACCTGTAAAAATGCAACTGATACGGCTGAGGGGAAGTAAAGAGGACTTCTTTCTGAATCCACAAGGCTCAGTTCATTATCGGGCTGTGCACAAGCGGTGGATACAATTGTGGCCACTTCTGCTAAAGAGATCAGTAAGTAAGGAATACTAATTACTAAAAACATTATGTACCTAGCTGTAGTTCAGCGCTTCCGTTGGGTGTACTATTCTCATCTCCCATAGCTACCTCCGAAATGGCGGAAGTTTCACAATACTTTAGATGGCCCATATCTAGAAAGGCCAATGATAGGAGCCCCCCTCCAAGAGCGAACCAAATATACCAAAATTCTCTTGCAGTGATGTCGAGACGAGTTGAAGGGACGTCTGAGATGCTAGAGATAGGGGTGGTTTCCACACTGGCATAGGCATGACGCGCTCCACCTACTTGTAGTCGTCGTGATTGCACGGACAACTCGATATCGTATGAGAAAATCTCTATGGTTTCCGTGCCCAAAGTGGCATTAACAGCTTCAGATGATGTCCTTTAAAGTTGAAGTTTGAATCAGTATTAGATACAATTAGCTATCTGATTTGAATGCACACACGTGGAGTTAGATTGTTTGGATTCCGAGGCTTCCTGTATTTTGACAGTGACTTTACGCTGCCAGTGAACTTGAATGTCGGGAGGCCTGAGAAACGGCGTTAGAGTAGATGTTCCATTCAGCACATCAGCACATAATATGACATACAATGAACTCGTGGTGAGCGAGTCTGTTAGAGATGGTGTTTCACATTGGCCGGGGGTGATACCAGGAAGAATGTTAGGAGGAGGTATGATTGCGCTGAGTTTCGTCCTATATGATGAGGTGACGTGGGCCATTGGGCTGATAGACAGCAGAATAGAGCTTACTCTATATTTTTCGCTACTATAGAGGCGTTACCATCCCGAACGATCCCGAAACCGAGTTGAAGTTTGCCACGGTCGAGCAGGCCATGAAATAAAATCGGCGGAGAGACAGTGACGATAGTAATTGTTGCCAAAAGGGACAAGACTAGACTCCGTAAGGCGGAGACCAGTAGTGACTGCATCCTACTGGAGTTGGGGATTTACGCAAAGGAGTGGCAGCGTTCTAAAAGGAATAGAAAAAGGGTGGCTGTAGTAGTGAGCATAAAGGATGGGGAGGAAGGAAAGTCTAAAGAGCTCCTGGGACGGCCACTACCTGGTTTTTATAGCTAAACGAACTGTCCTAAATTTGAAGTTCCGACGTGTCTTCTTGTAGAAGACGAGCGACGTGACGACGACGACGTCGCTTTGGACGTTCGACGAGCGATCAGGCTCAGGAAGCATTATCGATCGGTCACCTTCCCAGGACAACTCCTTTCGAGCTGTTCGTGGGTCGACCAGCGTTCGTTAACGTTCAACATTTCAATGTTATAACTGGCGAACCGGGCTAAGAATTGAACGGGAAATACTGATTAGACTGTTGATAAACAATGTGGATTGTTAAACATCAACCGCCGCGCGAACCGTCTATAAGCTTAGAATTGTCAGCTAATATTTTCCGGTGAAGTGGTGAAAGGAAATAGAATACGCACTGTACAAGATACTGAAGTTGAGCAGATGCATGATAGCAAAAACTATTCCGAGTCGTGCTCTGAGAGTTGGCAGAAGTTCAACCGGCGTGACTGCACAAAAGTTGAAACTGTGGAAGCCCTTTTCGGAAATGCCCGTTAAATTAGCGCTCAGTCTTGACTCTGTTAGGGCCTCTCCGGAGTCTATGACCTAGAATATAGCATGGTTCGTTGAATGTTGAAAACGTTGAGTACTGAAACCGAGTATTCAGACAACAACTTTAGGGATAATTTCTTTCGATACTTATTCACTCTGTGATGTTAACGTTCAACAATTGGTAACACGATCCCTCCTCTATTCTAAAGGGCATTGATGTCTACAGACTCAAGAGGTTTCGGAGTAGACGAGCAGAAATTTGGCAGGCACAAATTTTGCGGAGACAGGCTGAAGACTTGAGAGACTGCACTTATCATACTACTCAACATACGGTGCTTCCTTTCTAGCCACCATAACGCTGACGAAGCAGGCAAATTTAACACATGGTACAAAAAACCTTTAAACGTCACTTTATAGTACAATCATTATCCTTTCATACACTGCCGACTTATCGCTAGTCGTGAGGGGCACGAGCGCGACCTGCGGCGGCTTCTTTGCCTCCTGCTTCGCGAAGTTCTCCCTTCTCATGCATCTCGGGCTTATGCATCATCTTTCCGACAAGCTGAGGTGCAAAGAGCGGTCAGATCTCAAGCGAGCATACACAATATCGACTATACGCACCTTTTGCGTCTTGCCAATGAGTTTATCAGTCGCCTTGGCCTTACCCTCGGGCAAGTCGTCACGACCGTCAATTGCAACCCCACCTGTGGTGTGAGACGTCGTCGTCAGTACCTATTCTCTGTTCTTATCGTTGACATGGAAATGACGTACCAGACCACGCGGGCTGCACATTCAAGGGCATTGCCTCGTTGAAGGCATTTGGACCATCACCGTTCAAATGAGCAGGTTCATCGGCGTGCTGTCCACCAGCCATGACCTCTCTGTCATCGGTACCGGCACCGAACTGACGGTTGTTATTGCCCTTCCAGATGTCCGACTCGTTGGTAATGTCTGCAGAGTAATCGGCAGCTGGGTGAATTGGGTCCGACGAATGGTGAGTGTGATGAGCGGGAGGTGGTTGGGCAGCGAGCACAGAAGATGTGTTGCGCTCAAACTCGTTATCGAAGTCGTCGTAGTTGATTGAAGACATAGAGACGATTGTAGATGGTCTTTGTGTTTGTGGTAGGATAAAACATTGGGTTACAAGCGTCGAAGCTTTATATGCAACACTTTCTGAATTGCAGAGGAGTAGATGGAGTTGGCAAAATGAACGGGAGCATTCACATCCTGGATCCGCATTATGACGTCGGCTCATAAAAATCATTAGGGTCATAGATAATTAAATAATATATTCGTACATGCCCGCCTAGCTCAATCGGATAGAGCGTCAGACTTTTACGTTTGTAGGCGGTAGCACGTTACATCACGTGATCTGAAGGCTGCGGGTTCGACCCCCGCGGTGGGCTAGTTGTTTTATTTTTTGTGTCTTTGACATCCATTTTGCGTCAAACAGCTCCGAAAAAAGTTATGAAATAGCGAGCAAGTCACGGAGCGTTGGCAGTCACATCCAGTTCCTGAGTAAGTATTGTTACACATACTAGTTCCGAAGTCCATTGATCATGATAATGAATTTCCTACAGACGGCCGTGTGTATTCTGCGGGTTCGACCCTCGCGGTCCCCTTCCTCTCCGTTAAAGTTGTCTTCCCCGGATAGGTCTGCCAATATTCGGAGTCAATCTCCTTGTCAAATAAGCTGACCTTGATTAATGATTCCCTTTCGCGCAGGTCTGACTCTCGTAATACTTCAGCCTGTGATCATTGGATCATTGCCCAATCATCATTCTACAGTGCTGTACTTAATCTCTTTTACTAATAATTGTATTCCTTTTAGAGTATAGATTTATGGCCAGCTATCAATGCATAATGAATACTACATGCATGTAACCGATTAAAACTTCTAGCGACGGTGCTCAGGCTACTGCTTGACAGAGCCAGCGGGATCCGAGGCCTTAGAGAATGGCATCTCGCACGGTTACAAATCAAGGGAAAAATGCGTGTATTACTTTTGCTCTCTCCACTCTCCAATACACAGCGGTTCTTCATAAATCTATCTGTCTGCGCCTTGCCGTATGCAAAAAAAACCGTCCCGCAACTGCAACTCTGCAACTGTCGCCCTAAACGTCCGCCTCGTCTCCAAACAGCTGCTCACCACCGTCCACATCGGAAGGAGAGGTTCCCAGTCATGAAAATGCCGCATGAATATCCCGTCACGAACATCGTTCGTATCCTGGAATGGTATCCGCCCAAGGAGCATGTGGCAAAGCACAAGACCCAACGCCCACGCGTCCACCGCCTCTGCATCGAATTCCAACTCATTGAAGATCTCGGGTAGGTAAACTCTCCTCGTGCCACGATAATAGTCTGGGTCGCTGTATATGACTCATCCATGACCGAGAGGAATGCACTCCGGTCTTGTTATGCAGTTCCCAAAGTCGATTAGTGTGACCTAGGCGCGAACGCGATGAGTTCAGACGTTCATCAATGTTACATGGGTGATCAAATGCTTATCTTGAAGTCCGAGTCGACGAGGATATTCCGCGATTTGATGTCGCAATGCGATATACCAAGGGAGTGAAGATGTGTCATAGCATCAACGAGCTGATAGAAAATATATTTGGCGCGCTCAAGTGGTAAGACGCGTTCTTGTGAGAGACTGCCGTTAGGGAACTTCTTTTTACCGGTCTTTGTGACGGGATACCAGATGTTACCACGGAGTTCCTGTACCTACAAACAACGAGTCAGCACAATCACCGGCGGGCTCTATCAAAGTCGATGTTAAGGTAGTGAAGTGAACTCACAATGTACAAGTGGTTCTCATCCCCAAATACGTCTAATAGAGCGACGATGTTCTCGTTTTATGCTCGCTCCATGATGACAACGTCCCTCGTCACCGGATCATACTTCGGATGCTGGAATCAATGTTCTGTATCGTCACCCTTGTAGACAAATTTCACTGCAACCTCTTGACCGTCGGAACGTCGTCGTGCTTGGAGAACAAGCCCATTACCACCGACTCCAAGCTCACACCCAAGTTCATATTTGGCAACCAAGTCAGGGTGGATGTAGTAGCCTTCAAGAAAGTAGTAAGAGAATGTTTCCGCCTCAACACAGAGATTGTCCGGGATAGGGATGACGTTTGTTGCCTGTGTAACAGATGTGTGAGTATTGGTTGTTGTATAATCAGGCGTGAAGCTGCTTACAGGAATACTCGGATGGTGAGCTGGTGCCTTGCGCTGTACTTGAGCGGGTGCAGCCGACCAGCGGCTAATACAGGCATCCTAGCGTATCATCGTTAGCTAATGGCTATTAGCGGAAAGAGTCAACTCACCAAAATAGCGTGAAAAATGAGAGAAGAGTAGATGTATATTGCAACGACGACGAGAATCGCTGTCGCGAGTAATACCAAATGAGAGACGGAGAACAGAGCAAGACGACCAAGTCGTCCATTGACTTTACATGACACGCGTCGAGGACAGCCCGAACATCAGAGACCAAAGGTGCCATGACGATGGTGAACAAGACGGTGTATGCGATGGCCAGGTTGGCGTATACACACACGCTGAGGAGTGAGACAATGCCATGGGTGGTGACGGTATCTGAAGAGGAGAGGCGAGGCGACGCACCTTTAATACCTGAATGTTGACTATCTTGCGGCACGTACGAACTTGCTTGACTGCACCCACCAAACTCGCCATTCGCACGGTAGCGCCCACGGCCTTCAGAGAACAGTGGGCACTTGTGTAGGAGGAGGAGACGCGTACCAATCCCTGTGGTGGATACGAAGGGAGTAGTTTGCTACCAATTTCCAAAAATGGCAATATTTCTGGTGCCGCTCACGTGGGATTCGTCTCGTAAAACAGTCCAGCATTGGCATCTCGGAGCGAATGACCCTGGCCCAGTAGCAACAGTTTTAGAGCTTACAGACCTACATAGCTAAGGTGCTATGAGCTAGAAAGGCATTCCACGACAACTACCGCAAACAGAAAGATAAAAAAAAAGTGTCCGACGGACACGACCCTAGACCAACCAATCCGACAGGCTTTCCCACCGTTATCGCCTATTCTCATAACTGATACACGAGTACTTATAGGTGCCTACAATTCATTTAAGTGTCATGAATGAACATAAGCGCAGTTTGGATTCATGGAAAAATACCTCTACGAGCCGATATCCGCCCTACATAGTATCTACAGGCTACTTACTAAGTATTCTCGATACAAGGAATAAGCAATCTTACACCCGCTTGGGTACGACTTGGAACTTAGTATGTACAGCCAATTCTATAATCCATCTCCTTGTGCATCCACGGGCCGCTTAATGCAACACCCAGCTAACTTGGATACGTCCCGGAGGATTAGGCGCCAGGTCGGTGAACGCGGTGATGGAAAGATCGATGTCGTGCAGGGCACATTCAACACATCTGTCGGTCACTGTGGCCGTAATCGACCTACCCTGATCTGAGAACACGGTGTTAACAATTAATTCGTGGGATAAATGAGCCCGAGCACGACGTACAGGTGACCGTCATCTGTCTACCGCAAATAGGGTTGCTAAGGAAAGGTGCGGGGGTAAATGCCAAAGATTTATGAAATATTACATCTCATATAGGAAAACATACTTGTTAGGGTTGGAGGTTGCACCACTATCAATGCTATGTTAGCGCCTCATTTGCATTGAAGACTAGGGAGAGTCGGAAATGACTGACGGGAAGGAATCATAGAATGCCCCAGAGACCGCAACAATGTGGTCTTGCGTAGTGTTAAAAATGCCACATGCTCCAAGTCCAGGTGTAAAGACCGTAGCTATAAATCAGAATAAGAATGGATATATCAGAATTATTTTCCGAAATTTAATTGGAAAAAAATGGATTATGATAAAGAAGGGTTCAACGTACCGTCACCAGTGAACGTCTGACCAATCTGACGCTTGGAAGGTGCAGCACCAGAAAGAGTGGCAGCGGCCAAAACGATGAAAGCAACGAG